GGTGAGGTCACTGAGGTGCTGATCGACTGGATCCGCGCTGCCCGTCGTCAGCTCACCGAGAGTTTCGGCTCGGACCTTCCTGTACTGCGTCTGCACTCGGACAGAGGTGGTGAGTTCTCCTCTGACCTTCTGCGAGCCTTCTGTCGTGCGGAGGGCATCCGCCAGACGTTCACGCTTCCGGCCTCTCCGCAGCAAAACGGGATTGCTGAGCGCCGCATTGGCATAGTCATGGACGTCGCTCGTACGTCCATGATCCATGCGGCTGCTCCCCATTTTCTGTGGCCGTTCGTGGTTCAGTACGCTGCGCATTAGCTCAACCTCCAGCCCCGGGTCTCCATGCCGGAGACCACACCTACTCTACGGTGGACGGGGAAGGTTGGCGATGCGTTTGCGGTCCTTGTCTGGGGATCTCGAGCTTTCGTCCGCGACTTGCCTGCGGACAAGCTGTCCTCCCGTGATGTTCCCTGCATCTTCCTTGGCTTCCCCCCTGACGCGCCTGGTTGGCAGTTTTACCACCCCACCTCGCGCCGTGTTCTGTCCTCTCAGGACGTCACGTTTGACGAGTCGGTTCCTTACTACCGTCTCTTCCTGTACCGCACTGCCCCCCTTCCTCCCCCGCCGCTCTTCCTAGCGCCAGGTCCTCCCCAGGTAGACCCCCTTCCCCCTCAGGGTCCTGCCCCCTCAGGTGTGTCCCAGGTAGACGCAGTCGAGCCTGTCGAGGTAGCTGTTGACTCTGGTGCTGCTAGGGGTGCTGAGCCTGTGGGTGCCAGGTCTGGGGGTGCTGAGCCAGGGGGTGCTGAGCCTGAGGGTACTGAGCCTGGGGGTGCTGAGCCTGGGGGTGCTGAGCCTGGGGTTGCTGAGTCTGGGGGTGCGGAGCCTGAGGGTACTGAGCCGGCGCGTGTGGAGCCTGGGGGTGCTGAGCCTGGAGGTCTTTCGGGTGCCTCGTCCCGGCGGGAACCACTCTCTCCACAGCAGCTGCGCGAGTGGTTTGCTCGGCGTTGGAGCCGTGCTGCTGGAGCTGGTGGTGCTACGGGCGCTGGAGGTCCTACTACTGCTGGAGCTGCTGGGGGTTCTGGAGCTATTGGTCCCGGAGGTGCTCGTACTGGAGGTACTAGAGCTTCTAGGCCTGGTGGTGCTGCTGGAGCTGGAGCTGCTGGAGGTGCTGGAGCTAGCGGTGCTGCTGTAGTCGGTGCTCCTGGGGGTGCTGGAGTTGGCGCTACTGGAGCTGCTGGAGGTGCTGCTGGAGCTGGTGGTGCTGCAGGAGTTGCAGCTGACGCTGGGGGTTCTGGTGTTGTCCCTGCTGGTTCTGGAGGCGCTGCGCGGCGACGGCCGTACTTCGTTCCGCTCCTTGAGCAGGTTCTTGGTCTCCTGCCTTCTTTTGGTCCTGCTCCTTCCTTAGAGTGTCCACCGCCTGTCCAGTCGCAGTCACAGTTACAGCCCGCCTCCCCACTGCCTGCTCCTTCTCCTTACACTGGTCCGACCGGAGGGCTTACGGAGCATCGTGAGCCTGAGTCGCGTCCTGCGTCGCCTGTTTGTGCTGCTCGCACTAGTCGTCGTGGTTTGCGTCAGCGTCCTCCTCCTGTCCCTGGCACGCACCAGATGGCTCTGCGTCCTTCCACTGCTCCGCAGCGTGTCCCTCTGCTGTCTCCTCCTGCGTCCTCTCTTCCTTCCCTTGCTGACCCGGAGTCTGACTCCCTTCGTGCTGCTAGTCCTACTGTCACGCGTCTCCTGGCCACTGTTGTCACTGACCCATCCTTTGAGTCCACTGCTGCGTCTGCCTTAGTTGCTGAGCTTGTCGACTTTGCTGCTCACTGTCGTCTAGACTACGCCGCTAGTCTTGTTGCTGAGTCTGAGTCTGTCTTTCCTCCGTCCGTCGGGGGTGAGTGTGCTCTTAGCGCGGACGTCCTTGAGGACAGGCAGGAGGAGTTCCAGTGTTTTGCTGCTGCTTTACCTCATCTCGTGTCCATGCTGCTTGCCCCTGAGGGAGACCCGGATGCACCAGACATCCCGACCCCGCGCTCTTATACAGAGGCGATAGAGGGTCCCTACTCCTCTCAGTGGCAGACAGCCATGGACGCAGAGATGGCTTCCTGGAAGTCCACAGGCACCTACGTCAACGAGGTTCCCCCACCTGGGGCGAACATTGTTGATGGCATGTGGATTTTCAGGGTGAAGCGGCCGCCGGGTTCTCCGCCTGTCTTCAAGGCGCGTTACGTTGCACGAGGCTTCAGTCAGCGACAAAGAGTTGACTTCTTCCAGACCTTCTCCCCTACCCCGAAGATGACCACTCTTCGGGTGCTGCTGCACGTCGCCGCTCAGCGTGACTACGAGCTTCACTCTCTGGACTTCAGCACTGCTTTCCTACAGGGAAGCCTGCACGAGGAGATCTGGCTGCGCCGCCCACCTGGCTTCACTGGGTCGTTTGCTGCAGGTACCCAGTGGAGCCTCCGGCGGCCAGTCTACGGTCTCCGCCAGGCGCCTCGCGAGTGGCACGACACACTGAGGAAGACTCTTGCGGCTCTTGGGTTTGCTCCTTCTACTGCTGACCCGTCGCTGTTTCTCCGCACCGACACTTCGCTGCCGCCGTTCTACATCCTCGTGTACGTCGACGACTTGGTCTTTGCCACTGCTGACACTGCTGGACTGGCCCACGTGAAGTCGGAGCTGCAGAAGAGACACACGTGCACAGACATGGGTGAGCTGCGCAGCTATCTTGGCTTGCAGATCACCCGGGACAGAGCACGGCGCACCATCACCCTGACTAAGTCACACATGGTGCAGCAAGTCCTTCAGCGCTTCGACTTCCAGTACTCCTCGCCACAGTCCACTCCTCTGCCTACCGGCCACTCGCTCTCAGCTCTGCCTTCGGATGAGTCCGTAGAGCCGAGTGGCCCGTATCCAGAGCTTGTGGGCTGCCTCATGTACCTGATGACCTGCACTCGACCTGACCTTGCTTACCCTCTTAGCATCCTGGCATGCTACGTTGCGCCCGGGAGACATCGACCAGAGCACTGGAACGCCGCTAAGAGGGTGATGCGCTACTTGTGCAGTACGTCGGGCATGGGGCTCGTGCTTGGAGGACGGGGTCCAGATGTCCTCACTGGTCACGCAGACGCTTCTTGGGTTGACGACTTGGCTACGCAGCGGTCGTCACAGGGTTACACCTTCAGCCTTGGCTCCGGTTCTGTTTCGTGGCGGTCTACCCGCTCGTCTTCTGTTCTCAGCTCCAGTTGTGAGGCTGAGATCTACGCAGGGGCCATGGCTGCACAGGAGTTACGCTGGCTCACCTACCTGCTGACAGACTTGGGAGAGCCGCCTCGTTCTCCTCCAGTTCTGTACGTCGACAACAAGGCCATGGTTGCCTTGTGTCAGGAGCACAGACTGTAGCACAGAACGAAGCACATAGCTCTGCGCTACTTCCTTGCTCGAGAGTTGCAGCAGCGTGGTCAGCTTCGTCTTGCTTACGTGGCCACTCGGGCCAACACTGCTGATATCTTTACCAAGGCACTTCAGCCTTGTGATCATCAGCATTTTTGTACTATGTTAGGTCTTGTGCCTACTTGGCCTCACTTGCTCACCTCTTGACTTTGCTTGTACTGTGATCTATATATACCTGCACCTGCATGCTTACCCTTGCTAGGTTGAGATCACTGTCTTGCTTGTTCACCTTGATTTATAACCCTGCATGTGAACTGGCCTTGTGGCCTCATACTTGTGCTCAGAATGCGTGGTGACGTCGTGATCCACCCTGAGCTTGACCTTGCCTTGTTCTCTTGCTTGTCCCCCACTTTGCCTATGGGGGTGTGTCAGAACTATATTGTAGGCTGTAGTGGGGCACTCCTTATGGGGTACAGTATTGTTAGGTTTTGCCTATACAAACCTTGTACTGTCCTGTTAGTCATTCTCGTTTCCTACCTTGTGACAGACTTCGAGTGGATGCTGGCTACTAAGCGTGGCAGTACATCATGCGCACCTACAAAGCGACCGACGACCTCTACATCAGTCAACTGAAGAAGAAGTTGACCAACATTCGCATGGGGGAGCAGGAATCGGCCCGAATACTGCAATCGAGCGCGGCGAGTTTTGGCCGATCTGCGGATGGCCGGCGTCGACTACTCGGTGGCGTCGTATGTCACCCATGTCATATGTGGCCTCCCCTTGGGCTACAATCTCATGCCCAGAATGATGACGGTTCCTGGCTCGGGCGAAACTCTAAACGAGGACTCGCTTTCGAGCCACATCATCCAGGACGAGTTCATGCAGGAGTCTTAGCAACCCACAGAACTGCTTCCGCAGGCCAACCACGTCACCCCGGCGAAGCAGGGACGCCAACAGGGGCAGCGTAGGAAGTCTAGCGGAGGCAGTGGTGGGAAGTCGTCGAACGCGAAATCGACGGAGGGCGCCGACCGTGGAAAGTCGGCGAAAGGAGGAAATCGCGATAGCAGTGGCTCTCGTCGAGAAAGACGTCGTTGCTACATCTGCGATGCTTCCGATTGCCCCTACCGAGACGAGTCTGACGACGATCGGGACACCAACCGCAGAAAGTCAGATGGTGGCCGTCGTCGTTGAGACAACTAGCCGCGCAAAGAGAAGCAGGAGTCGAAGACTTCTTCGGCGAAGGACGCCGACTCTTCCAGGGGCAATGCACGTGGCGAGAAGGAGGCTTCGTGCTCGATGGTTGGTGTGGTGGAGCCGACGATCTCGCTGGCGCTGGAGGGTGGCGAGGACTTCAAGGCGGTCGCTGCTGCTGTGGAGGCGAATCCGACTGTCGTGCTCCTCGACAGCGGCTGCTCCCATCATCTGATGGCAATCCGAGAGGCCTTCGTCGACAGCGCGTTAGGGAGCGCGTGAGAGAGCGTATGAGAGAGCGCGTGAGAGAGCGCGTGAGAGAGCGTGAGAGAGCGCATGAGAGAGCGCGTGAGAGAGCGTTTGAGAGAGCGCGTGAGGGAGCGCGTGAGGGAGCGCGTGAGAGTGCATGAGAGAGTGCGTGCAAGAGCGCGTTATTGTGCACGTGAGAGTGCGCGTGAGATGCGCGTGAGAGAGCGTGTGAGAGAGCGCGTGAGAGAGCGCGTGAGAGTGCGCGTGAGAGAGCGCGGCGCGTTAGTGAGCGCGTGAGGCACACGTGAGAGAGCGCATGAGTGAGCCCGTGAGAGCGCGTAAGAGAGCGCGTGGCAGAGCGTGTGGGAGAGCACGTGAGAGAGCGTGAGAGAGAGCGTATGAGAGAGCGTATGAGAGAGCGCGTGAGTGAGGGCGTGAGTGTGCGCGTGAGAGAGCATGTGAGAGAGCGCGTGAGAGAGCGCGTGAGAGAGCGCATGAGAGAGCGCGTGAGGGAGCGCATGAGAGAGCGCATGAGAGAGCGCGTGAGGGAGCGCGTGAGGGAACGCATGAGAGAGCGCGTGAGAGAGCGCGTGAGAGAGTACGTGAGAGAGCGCGTGAGAGAGCGCGTGAGGGAGCGCGTGAGAGAGCATGTGAGAGAGCGCGTGAGAGAGCGCGAGAGAGAGAGCGCGTGAGGGAGTGCGTGAGGGAGCGTGAGAGAGCGCGCGAGAGAGCGCGTGAGAGAGCGTTCGAGAGAGCACATGAGAGAGCGCGTGAGGGAGCGCGTGAGAGAGTGCATGAGAGAGTGCGTGCGAGAGCGCGTGATTGTGCGCGCGAGGGAGCGTGTGAGAGAGCGTGTGAGAGAGCGCGTGAGAGAGCGCGTGAGAGTGCGCGTGAGAGAGCGAATAAGGGTGCGTGCTAGTGAGCCCGTGAGGCAGACGTGAGAGAGCGCATGAGAGAGCCCGTGAGAGCGCGTAAGAGAGCGCGTGGCAGAGCGTGTGGGAGAGCACGTGAGAGAGCGTGTGAGAGAGTGTATGAGAGAGAGCGTGAGTGAGGGCGTGAGTGAGGGCGTGAGTGTGCGCGTGAGAGAGCGTGTGAGAGAGCGCGTGAGAGAGCGTGTGAGAGAGCGCATGAGAGAGCGCGTGAGGGAGCGCGTGAGGGAACGCTTGAGCGAGCGCGTGAGAGAGCGCGTGACAGAGCGCGATAGAGAACGCGTGTGGGAGCGCGTGAGAGAGCGCGTGAGAGAGCCTGTGAGAGAGCGCGTGAGAGAGCGTGTGAGAGAGCGCATGAGAGAGCGCGCGAGAGAACGCATGAGAGAGCGCGTGAGAGAGGCGTGGGAGAGCGTGTGGGAGAGCACGTGAGAGAGAGTGTGAGAGAGCGCATGAGTGTGCGCGTGAGTGAGGGCGTGAGTGTGCGCGTGGGAGAGCGCGTGAGAGAGAGCGTGTGAGAGAGCGCGTGAGAGAGCACATGAGAGAGCGAGTGAGAGAGAGAGTGAGAGAGCGCGTGAGAGAGCGCGTGAGAGAGTGCGAGAGAGAGAGCGAGAGAGAGCGCGTGAGAGAGCGCGTGAGGGAGCGCGTGAGAGAGCGCGTGAGAGAGCGCGTAAGAGAGCGCGTGGGAGAGCGCGTGCGAGAGCGCGTGAGAGAGCGTCTGATGGAGCGCGTGAGAGAGTGCGAGAGAGAGCGCAAGAGAGAGCGCGTGAGAGAGCGCGTGAGGGAGCGCGTGAGAGAGCGCGTGAGAGAGCGCGTGAGAGAGCGCATGAGAGAGCGCGTGAAAGAGCGCGTGCGAGAGCGCGTGAGAGAGCGTGTGAGGGAGCGCGTGAGAGAGTGCGAGAGAGAGCGCGTGAGAGCGCGTGAGATGCGTGAGAGAGCGCGCCAGAGAGCGCGTGACAGAGCACGTGAAAGAGCGCGCGATAGAGCTCGCAAGAGAGCGCGTGAGAGAGCGCATGCGAGAGCGCGTGAGTGAGCGCGTGAGAGAGTGCGTGAGAGAGCGCGTGAGAGAGCGCGTGTGAGAGCGTGTGATTTTGTCTAAGAAAGTTTAGGGTCAGCGTAATTTTGTGGTATGCTCAGCGTGGGGCGGCTGGGGGTGCTGTCCGCTGCCCGTATGTCATTCGCACAGGTCCCCGCGCTGGTCAGCCCTGCGGGAAGTTTCACACCGAGTACCGCTGCTTCTCTCATCTTGATGATGCCTGGCGCACACAGTTTCCTGATGCACCTAAGCTCCCCCGCTGGGCAGACTTGCTCAAGCGCGATGTAGATATCTTTGCTCTTGACTATGATGCTATTCTTGCTGCCATGTATGCATTGACTGTTAGTGCTGAGGGTGACTGTTACTTGTGTGTGCCGCCCGACCCAGGTATAGAGTCTGCTACTCTAGGTGCTAGTGAGTCTGCTCTAGGTGCTGGTGAGACTGCTCTCTTTGGTACTGCGCCTGCTGAGGCCTTGCACACCTTCACGCTTGACTCAGGTGCTTCCCGATGCTTCTTTCGAGATAGCACCACAGTCACACCCCTCGCAGCACCGGTTGCCGTCTCTTTGGCTGACCCCTCTAGGGGACCGGTTCTTGCACGATCCTCCACTGTTCTCCCGTGTCCGGCGGTTCCGTCTGGCTCACTGTCAGGTCTGCACCTCCCCTCGTTCTCTACGAACTTGGTGAGCAATGCCGTCCTTCAGGATGCATGGGTTAATACCTTTTACTTCTGGAGGACAGCGTGTAGCGATCTGCACGTGTGGACGGACGGGCCGTCACCTGGCCACGTTCACCCGTCGGCCTGGGTCGAGCCTGTACACACTGACTACTGCGCCTCCTCAGGTAGCTGCGTCTGCGTCCGCGTCAGGTCAGCTAGCAGCCTCATGCTCGTGTCGCGCCCTGTCGCACCAAACCCTCCTGTGGCACCACCGCCTTGGTCACCCCTCCCTGCCACGCCTCCGTGGCATGCACTCCCGTCTCCTTGTCTCTGGTATTCCCAGGTCTCTGCCCCCCCTCCCGCGCTCGCCTGCCCCACCCTGTCTTCCCTGCGTCGAGGGGCGGCAGCGCGCCGCTCCTCACTCCTCCTCGTTCCCTCCGACAGAGGCTCCCCTGCAGACTCTCCACATGGACGTGTGGGGCCCAGCCCGCGTCCAGGGACAGGGCCGCGAGCGGTACTTTTTGCTGGTTGTTGTCTTCCCCTTGCGCGGCAAGGGGGAGGTCCCTCATGTCTCGATCCCTTGGATCCGCGCTGTCCGTCTCCAGCTCCGCGAGCGGTTCCACCAGGACCTTCCTCTCCTGCGTCTACACTCTGACAAAGGTGGTGAGTTGTCCTCCGACCTCTGGCGGGACTTTTGTCAGGAGGAAGGCATCACCCAGTCGTTCACGCTTCCGGCCTCTCCGCAACAGAATGGGGTTGCTGAGCACCGTATTGGCTTAGTTATGGAGGTCGCTCGTACCTCCATGATCCATGCGGCTGCCCCCCCATTTTCTGTGGCCGTTTGCGGTCCGGCACGCTGCGCATCAGCTCAACCTCTAACCCCGTGTCTCCTTGCCGGAGATCTCGCCGACACTGCGTTGGACGGGAGAGGTTGGCGATGCGTCAGTGTTCCGGGTCTAGCGATCTCGTGCCTTTGTCCGCGATACCTCCGCGGACAAACTCTCCGCCCGTGCCATTTCCTGTGTCTTCCTTGGTTTTCCCCCTGACGCGCCTGGTTGGCAGTTTTACCACCCCACCTCGCGCCGTGTTCTGTCCTCTCAGGACGTCACGTTTGATGAGTCGGTTCCTTTTACCGTCTCTTCCCCTACCGCACTGCCCCTCCCCCTCCCCCGCCGCTCTTCCTTGCTCCAGGTCCCCCTCCGGTAGACCCCCTCCCCCCTCAGGGTCCTGCTCCTTCAGGTGTGTCTCAGGTAGACCCACTCCACTTGGTTGTGCCTGTCGAGGTCACTGGTGACTCTGGTGCTGCTGGGGGTGCTGAGCCTGAGGGTGCTGAGCCTGAGCGTGTGGAGCATGGGGGTGCTGAGCCTGGGGGTGCTTAGCCTGAGTGGGTGGAGCCTGGGGGTGCTGAGCCTGAGCGGGTGGAGCCTGGGGGTGCTGAGCCTAGGGGTGCTGAGCCTGAGCGTGTGGAGCCTGGGGGTGCTGAGCCTGGGGGTGCTTAGCCTGAGTGGGTGGAGCCTAGGGGTGCTGAGCCTGAGCGGGTGGAGCCTGGGGGTGCTGAGCCTAGGGGTGCTGAGCCTGAGCGTGTGGAGCCTGGGGGTGCTGAGCCTGGGGGTGCTTAGCCTGAGTGGGTGGAGCCTAGGGGTGCTGAGCCTGAGCGGGTGGAGCCTGGGGGTGCTGAGCCTGAGCATGTGGAACTTGGGGGTGCGGAGCCTGCGGGTGTGGAGCCTGGAGTTGCTGAGACTGGTGGTGCTGGAGGTACTACTAGTTCCGGAGGTGCTTGAACTGGAGGTACTGGAGCTGCCGGAGCTGGTGCTACTGTCGCTCCTAGTGGTGTTGGTGGAGCTGGCAGTGCTAGTCCTGGAGGTTCTGGAGGTGCTCTCTCGCCGCAGTAGCTACGCGAGTGATACTCTCAGCACTGCCGCCGTCGGCGTGGCGCTGCTGGGGCTGGAGGCGCTGCGGCTGGAGGCGCGGGAGCTGGAGGTACTAGAGCGGCCGGAGCTGGTGGTGCTGCGGACTCTGGAGCTGGAGGCCCTGGAGCTGTAGGCGCTGGAGCTGGTGACCCGGGAGCTGGGGGTGTTGGAGCTGGAGTTTCTGGAGCTGCTGGAGGTGCTGAAGCTGGAGTTTCTGGAGCTGGAGGTGCTGGAGCTGCTGGTACTAGTACTAGAGGTGCTAGTGCTGGAGGAGCTGGTATTGGTGGTGCTGCACTGTCGCGTCTGTTCTTCGCTCCACCGTCACCGCCGTCTCTGCCACCGCCTGGCTCGGTGCTTCGCCAGGTTCTTAGTCTCCCGTCTTCTACTGGTCTCCCGTTACAGCCAGGCTCCCCACTGCCTGCTCCCTCTCCTTACACTGAGCAGACAAGAGGTCTTACGGAGCGTCGTGAGCCTGCGTCTCGTCCTGCCTCGCCTGTTCGCGCTGGTCGCACTGGTCGCCGCGTTCCTCGTGAGCGTCATCCTCCTGTCCCCGGCACGCACACTATGCCACTTCGTCCTTCCTCTGGTCCACAGCGTGTTCCTCTGCCGTCCCCTCTTGCGTCCTCTCATCCGCACGTTCCGGACCCTGAGTCTGACCTAGTTCGTGCTGCCAGTCCTACTATTACGCGTCTCTTAGCCACTGTTGTTACTGACCCTTCTTTTGAGTCTGCTGCTGCGTCTGCCTTAGTCGCTGAGCTCGTTGACTTTGCTGCTGCTTGTCGTCTCGACTACGCCGCTAGTCTTGTTGCTGAGTCTGAGTCTGTCTGTCCTCCGTCCGTCGGGGGTGAGTCTGCTCTTGGCACGGACGTCCTTGAGGACAGGCAGGAGGACTTTGAGTGTCTTGCAGCCGCTGCACCTCATCTCGTGGCTATGCTACTTGCCCCTGAGGGAGACCCGGATGCACCAGACATCCCGACCCCGCGCTCTTACGCTGAGGCGATCGCGGGTGAGTACTCCTCTCAGTGGCAGACAGCCATGGACGCAGAGATGGTATCCTAGAAGTCCACAGGCATCTACGTTGACGCAGTTCCCCCTCCTGGGGCGAACGCAGTCGATGGCATGTGGATTTCAGGGTGAAGCGGCCGACGGGTTCTCCGCCCGTCTTCAAGGCTCGTTACGTTGCTAAAGGCTTCAGTCAGCGACAGGGAGTTGACTTCTTCCATACCGTCTCCCCTACCCCAAAGATGACCACTCTTCGGGTGCTGCTGCACATTGCCGCTCAGCGTGACTACGAGCTGATAAGAAACGAGGAATGAAATGACTAAGTGAAAGTTGGGTACAAAAAGCAAACCCTAGAAAACTGTACCCCATGTGTGCCACCCCACTATAGCCTACAGTAGCTATGTCATATAAATCTGACACACCCCCATAGGCAAAGTGGGGGAGAACAAGGGGTCACAGGACCAGTCAAGCAAAGCAAAACAATCTCAGGGTGGATCACAAAGTCACCACACATTCCGAGCACAAGTTCAAGGCCACAAGGCCAGTTCACATGCAGGATTACATATATATATAAGGCTAGACAAGCAAGAGCAGGAGTATATATATATATGCATCAGTACAAACAAGGTCAAGGGGTGAGCAAGTGAGGCAAGGTGGGCACAAGACCCAGCTGAGTACAGAAGCGCTGATGATTACAAGGCGCAAGTGCCTTGGTGAAGATATCAGCAGTGTTGGCCTGAGAGGCCACGTACGCAAGCCGCAGCTGACCACGCTGCTGTAGCTCACGAGCAAGGAAGTAGCAGAGAGCAATGTGCTTCGTTCTGTGCTCCAGTCTCTGCTCTCGACACAAGGCCAGCATGGCCTTGTTGTCTACGTACAGCACTGGAGGAGAACGAGGCGGCTCTCCGAGGTCAGTCAGCAGGTAGGTGAGCCAGCGAAGCTCCTGTGCAGCCATGGCCCCGGCGTAGATCTCAGCCTCACAACTGGAGCCGAGAACAGAAGACGAGCGGGTAGCCCGCCACGAAACAGAGCCGGAACCAAGGCTGAAGGTGTAACCCTGTGATGACCGCTGCGTAGCCTGGTCGTCAGCCCAAGAAGCGTCTGCGTGCCCAGTGAGGACCACTGGACTCTGCCCTCCAAGCACAAGCCCCATGCCCGACGTACTGCACAAGTAACGCAACACCCTCTTCGCTGCAGCCATGTGCTCCGGTCTGTGTCTCCCAGGAGCAACATAGCGTGCGAGAATGCTAAGAGGGTATGCGAGGTCAGGTCGTGTGCAGGTCATCAGGTACATGAGGCAGCCAACAAGCTCTGGGTACGGGCCACTCGACTCTACGGACTCATCCGAAGGCAGAGCTGAGAGCGAGTGGCGAGTAGGCAGAGGAGTGGCCTGAGGCGAGGAGTACGTG